GTAGTCTATAAAGTGTATAATCGTATATAAAATTGCAAAGTAGTGTATACAGTGTATAATCGTATATAAAGTTACAAAATAGTATATAATGGCTGGGTTAGCGCCTGGGCTCTTATTGCTGTGGGTTGATATAGAGGCCCTGCCAACCAGTGAGGCGGGTTACAATTGGGCTTCTACTGCAAGGTAAGCAGGTCCTCAGGAGAAAAACCAGGCTTTCTCCTCCGGTACAGAGTTACAGCCTCGGACAGGGTCGCTGTGATTCAGAGCCGACTCGATGGCAGTAAGAGTGATCGATAAGGGGAACGATAACTTGGGAGGTGTGTGTGCTTTAGAACAACCAACGTCTGGGATCAAAAGAGACAAACTTGGGATGGACTAGAGAAGACGGAGGGGAGCCCAGGTGGCACAGTGGGTTAAGCCTTGGACTTCTAACCACAAGGTCAACAGTTCAAAACCACCAGCCCCTTCGCAGGAGGAAGATGAAGCTTTCTACTCCCATAGTGAAGAGCTACGGCCCGAGAAACTCCCAGGGGCAGTTCTGCTCTGCCCCCAGAGGGTCCCCTGGAGTCAGGACTGAGTGGGTGCAGTGAGTTTCCTTTGGTTAGGGAAGAGGTGGGGATGGGGGGGTGGCAGGGCAAGGGGGGGTGACCTCCGTGCATTGAGGGGTTGTGAGAATGAGATGGAACAAGAGTGGTGAACTGAACTGTTGGGTACACAGCTGATGATGTGCTCTGTGAACCCTCACCCGGTCTCCGTGAGAAGTTTTGTAAGCATCCCCGCCTCCCGCTGCAGAAGGCTCTGCGGCCGCTCCTCGCAGTGCCCAGGATGGGCGGGCGGCTGGTTTAAGGATGCAGCAGGGAGCAGCAATGCAGGCGGAGTGACGAGGCAAAGACACTTGCTGCAGTGCGGGGACGTGGCCGGCGGGCCAGGCCGCCAGCCCGGGGGTGGAGGGGGTGGTGTGCATGCTCAGAATACCCAAAGAGAAGGCAGAGGCGGGAAGGGCACCGGCAGAGACTCCTCAGCCTCCGGAGTCACCTTCTGGAGCTGTTGGGCCTAGCTTTTCCACAAAGTAGTTCCTAGTCAAATTCCTTCATGTTTCTCTTTGTTTAAGATTCCTTAAGCCAAGGAAAAACCCAGAATGGCAGAGGAGAAAGAGCCCTTACAGGGCAAATCTGGAGAGGAACCTGAAAGACTTCATCACCCACTGGGGAGCTAGCTTCCCAGGATGGCAGTTCCCGGGAGGGACCAAAGAATGAAAGGGTTGAGGTTTAGCACTGAACCTGGGGCTCTGGGCTCAGTTTCCTCAATGCCACAGCCCCTGCCTCCCACCCCTGTGGCCATCCGACCAAGGACAAGCACATAAAGACCGAAATGGGCCATCTGCATTCTTTTTCTCTTTCTCCTAGCCAGCCACACAGGAGCTGTGGGAGCTGGAGATAATCTCTTTCCGCTTCAGAGCATTTTAATTCACAGGAAACTGGCTGTCAACATCTTGCTTTCCATTCAGGCAACTGGCTCAGTGGGGTCTCACCCATCAAATAAGTAGATAATATTTACGGCAGGTTATCAGCCCTGGCGGCACCTTAGAATATCTATGCAGCTTTTCCATGAAATTGGACAGCTCCTGTCCTAAGGTAAGTCCCGTAGAATCTCTAGGATTCCAGCCTGGATAGCAGTACCCCCCCACCCCCACCCCCTGACCCCCAAAGCTCCCCAGGTGACCGGATTGGGTCTCAAGGCTGAGAAACACTACCTACACCCACCTCCAGCCCCAGACAGGTGCTTCCCAAACATTCCTGTGACTGGACAGGGCCTGTAGATCTTGTTGGAAATGCAGATTCTGGGTCCTTCAAGGTGGAGGGCACTGGCCTGAGATGCTGCGTTTTTAACACGCTCCCAGGGAAGGAAGTTGGCATGGTATTAATGAAGTGCTCAGCCGCGAGCAGCCGAAAGGTCGGAAGTTTGGAGTCTCTGCAGGAGAGACCAGGCTTAAGGCTGCTGCCTTAAAGATTTACAGCCTGGGAAGCCCCGTGGGCTGTTCTGCTCAGTTTTGTAGTCACATCGCTGTGAGCTGGAATGGAATCAATGGCAATAGGTTTGGTTGGTTTGGTTTGGTCAGGTTAGGTTAGGTTGGTCTGTTCTGGTTGGGTTTGGTCAGGTTAGGTTGGGTTAGGTTAGGTTAGGTTAGGTTTGGTTTGGCTACTTTCAGCTGATGCTGTCAGCCTAGGAAGCACGTGTTGGTGACTCCAGAGACTACAGTCAGACTCTCAAACGCACTGCCGTCAAGTCAATGGTGACTCACAGAGACCCTGTAGGACAGGGTGGACCTGCCCCTGTGGGTTTCTGAGACTAACTCCTTACGGGAGTAGAAAGCCTCCTGCTTCTCCCATGGAGCAGCTAATGGTTTCCTTCCAACTGCTGACCTGGCAGTGAGGAGGCCAACATTCGACCACTAGGGCTCCTCCCGGAGCTGCCGGCTTAGATGCTAGGCCCCAGGGGAGTGAAGGACTGAAGGACGAAGACAGATCAACTGGTGCCCATCTGGGCACCCATGAGAGAAACAGTCCCTGCATGAGTGATCCGTACACCCTCCGCCCATCCCAGCACCTCCAGGCATCTCCAGAACTCCGTCAGCTTCTCTCAGGGCCGCACGCCGCTCCTGCCCACCAACCCCCAGCCCCAAGCTGAGCACAGTAGATGGCACAAAGTGGGTCCCAGGAAACGCGTGCTTGTTAGATGGAAGAAAGAGGCTGGCAGAGAAGGGAGTTACAAAGTAGTACATACACAGTGGCTGCGTCAGAGTGAACTCAACTGTCAGTCGATACAGAGACCCTGCACAACAGAGTAAGGCGCTCCGGTGGCCCAGGGGGTGAAACGTTGAGCTTCTAACCACCAGGTCAGCGGTTCAAAACTGCCGGCTGCTCCACTGGAGAGAAAGATGAGGCTATAGCCTTAGAAACCCAGGGGGAGAGGAGGGGAGGGCAGTTCTACCCTGTCCTACAGGGCTGCTGTGGGTCAGCCTGCGCTCGCTGGCAGTGGGGTTGGGTTCGGGGTTCTGGGGGGCAGAGTAGAGCTCCCCCCCACCCCCAGGGTTTCCAAGGCTGCATTCTGTATGGAAACCGATGGCCTTGTCTTGGAACCAGTGACTTTTAGGTTAACAGTTGAGCGCTTTGCCAGAGCACCATGGGGACTTCTTCCCTTTAAACACAGCCCGGGCCCTGGAGTCTGTGCCAGCACACAGAGGCCCTGCAGGGCAGAGCATGTCTGCCCCACGGGGTTTCCAAAGCTGCCATCTTGATGATGAGAACAGACTGACACGTGGACGGACATACCTCTGACACCCCCGACTCTTTGGCTAGTGGCAGAGCACTTAACTGCTGCACCAGCAGGCCTCCCTGTGGCCTCTCCCACCTACTCCATCAGTGAGCTCACCAAACCAAACCACACTCACCGCCATCAAGTGGATGCCCACTCACAGTGACCTTAGAGGGCAGGGTATGACTGCCCACTTTGAGTTTCCGAGACTAACTGCTTCCAGCAGTAGAAAGCCTCATCTTTCTCCCAGAGAGCAGCTGGTGGTTTCGAACTGCTGACCTTGCAGTTTGGAGCCCAACATAACCCCTATGCTACCAGGGCTCCTATGCCAGCGGCACAACTGCCAGCATCTTAGCCACCTGTGGAGTGGAGGAGCTTGTATCGGGGAAGGTGAGCAATCATAACAAGAGTCCCCAGGCCAGGCTGGCTTCGGACAAGATAGGAGCTGAACACTCTGATGTCAGAGGAAAGTGAGGGGTGGAGGGGGAGGGGGAGGTTCTCAGGCTAAGGCCCCAATGTGCTCCCCCAGCGGCCCCATCCTGGGTCCGTGGCCTGCTCTGCTTACCCCTACCTTGAGAAGAAGGCCTATCTGCAGGGTCCCAGCTCCCAGGAAAGGGGCGGGAGAATGAAGGTGCTGTGCCTGATCTGGGAGGCACATGCCTGAACCACCCCTGTCCGCATCCCATAGGTGAGGACTGAGTCATGGGGTCCTGCTTAGCTGCAAGGGAGGCTGGGAAGATTGCCTCCACCCCAACCCCCCAAAGCTGCTCCGCTGTGTGCCCCCCCACCTCCCAGTGTAACCAGGAACTGTGGAGGGATGTGGTGAATAACTCGGTCCACCCCCAGGGCCGGGTGTGCAGCCACCAGCTGACCTTTGGGCTTGGTGTCTGGCCTCATTTCTACCCACGCAGCCCACCTGCCTCCTGTGGCCCCTCCTCCTCCCCCTGCAGGGTGAATGCTCTCAAAAGTGCCACTCTATATTCGTCGTGGAGACCATTTGTGTGGCCTGGTTCTCCCTGGAGTTCTGCCTGCGCTTCGTGCAAGCCCCCAACAAGTGCCGGTTCTTCCGGGGTCCCCTGAACATCATCGACATCCTGGCCATCTCCCCGTACTACGTGTCCCTGGCCGTGTCCGACGACGAGCCGCGGGAGGACAGCGACCGGCCCGGCGGCGGGGGCTCCTACCTGGAGAAGGTGGGGCTGGTGCTGCGGGTGCTGCGGGCGCTGCGCATCCTGTACGTGATGCGTCTGGCCCGCCACTCGCTGGGGCTGCAGACGCTGGGGCTGACGGTGCGGCGCTGCGCCCGCGAGTTCGGCCTGCTCCTCCTCTTCCTCTGCGTGGCCGTCACGCTCTTCTCCCCGCTGGTCTACCTGGCCGAGAACGAGTCTGGGCGCGTGCTGGAGTTCACCAGCATCCCCGCTTCCTACTGGTGGGCCATCATCTCCATGACCACGGTGGGCTACGGAGACATGGTGCCCTGCAGCGTGCCGGGCCAGATGGTGGCCCTGAGCAGCATCCTCAGCGGGATCCTCATCATGGCCTTCCCAGCCACGTCCATCTTCCACACCTTCTCCCACTCCTACCTGGAGCTCAAGAAGGAGCAGGAGCGGGCCCAAGCGCGCCTGCGCCGCCTGCGGGCCGCCAACACGGGCAGCGAGCGCGAGCTGCTCCAAGACACTGACGACCCCCTCCTGGCCGAGTCCCCAGAGCCCGCCAAGGACCTTTAGCCCCAGCTGCTTCGTAGCCCCCGGCGAGCGCCGCACCAAAGCCAGCGTCACGGCAGCAAGCCACGGATCGCAGGGTCGAGTTCTCCCAACGCTAGGAGTGAACGCGATGATCGTGGACCCCCCCTCCCCCAGGGACTGGTGATGCAGGCTGACGTCACCGGGGCCTGCACTTTCCTCTCTCCTGCAGTCCCTTCCCACAGCGGACGGTGCCCCTGGTGAGAGTGGGCTCCTTTCCGTTCCTCTTCCGCCCCTGCTGAGCCATTAGCATCTGGGACGCTTCCAGCATCGGGTCATCAAACCTATGGAAATCCCACCCTTCCCCTTCCGGGGTCTCCTGGCCACCCCTGTTACAAAGTCTAAACCCTCCTGATCAGCTCTCCCTGCTTCCCAACAGACACACACACACACACACACCCCACGCGCATGCACCCACCACACGCATGCACCCCTGGGTCTCAGTCATTTTTTGGCTCCCACTGAGAACCGAGACCATCTCTGTGTTCCTCGTTGCTAAAGGCATTGTCCTGACTCAGCTGCCTTCCCACCACTCTGGGCGCTCTCCGCCACAAAGGCAGTGCTGGACTCTCGCATCAAAAGCCACACTGGTAAGCCTGTCTCCCCCTGCAAGGCCCCCACCCAGAAGTTCCTCTTTCCAGCAGAGCAGGACCTCCTCAACGGAGTGGACTCGTGGTGGGACCTTCTCTAGAAGCCAACACTGGGCCTGGACAGAGCTCCAGAGGGCCTCTGTGGAGACCTGCTCATGCCCTGGCTGGGGATGTTGGCTTTAAGTCCTTTAGCTAAGTCTGGGTGCAGCAGCCTGGGTGGAACCAGGGACAAGGCTGAACTGAGCCCCTTGCTGGCTCCCTGGATCAGGCTCCTCAGTGCCCTGGTATCCCATTCACGTTTATTTTATTAATTGTCTCGCTCTTCCAGCAACGGGTGTGCCTCCCTTCGCTCCTCGTGGAGGAGGCAGGCACAGGACAGCACGTCCTGAGACCAGAGAGGGATCCTAGGTGGCTACAGTCAGTCGGCTCCCCAGAGGGAGGAAGGGGGCCTGCATCCAGGAGATGAAGCTGGGAAGGTGGGTTGGGATAGGAGCGTGGTGGCCCTTGGAGGCTCGGAGAGAGAATCTCGTTCTTTTGGTCTATGACAGAGGGAGGCACAGAGAGGTTTGCGGGAAGGAGCGAGCTGAGCAGGCCTGTGGGTGTGGAGGAGGGTGAAGGTTGGCTGAGGTGGCGGGAAGCTGGGTGGGATGGGCAACGTTGGAGTGGCCTGGGGCCTTCGTCTCTCGCGTCACCACTGGAGATGTGCCACATCCTGGCTGCCCAGCGTTTTGCTCCCCACTAACCTGCCAGCAGGACACGTCTCCATGACACATCCTGAGAGTGACGTGGCTACTCTGCAAAAGAAAGCTGGGGGTTCCCTCAAGAGGCCTGGAAGGATGCAGACAGGTGACAGGAAGTGACTGGGACAGCCGCACAACTGATACCATGTAGGTGGGACAGCACCCAGCACATCGGCACTATCGAGATATGGCCTGCTGCCAATCCAGTCAGCGTGTGAGCACCTACCCTGTGTGGCCCACGTCTCTGTCTCAGGGGGACACCCCACCCCCTATACCATCATGCACTTCAGTCTGCCTCGGCCCCACAGGGAGCCCTCCTCTCCTCTGGTCCCCTCGAAAGCCCTCCCCACCGATGTGGGCACACTTCTCCATCCCCGTTGACCCTTAGAGTCCACAGGACAACGTGCCCCCTTGCCCATCTTGAGCTCCCTACCGTGCCAGCATCTGAGCTCATCGCATAGTGACAAGGAGACCAGTCACCGAGGGGGTGCATCCCACCTAGACGTGCCACCCTGCCCCAAGAAGTGACAGGCAGAGTCTCCTGAGCCACGGGGCTGGGACACTGCTTCACCGAACATCGGAAACAGCCTGACTTTTGTTCCAGCCTGCCTTTGTTCAGATACACAGACCACCTCCACTCGGTGATGGACAAGGGGTCCAGGGTGACACTGAGGTAGCCTCTCCCTTCTCTGGACAGCGGGCCCTCATCTGTCAATGAACGGGCTTAGGGTAGGTCTTCCTTATTTGATGTCCTACTTGCATCGTGCCCGGGAGATCACAGATGTGTGTGCCTTGCCTGGCAGCGATCTGGACTCTGTTGAGTGGTCTGGACCTGCCTGCCCTCTGTTCCCTGTATGGCCCTTGGGGTTGTGCCGGCTGCTTATCAGGATTATGCAGTGCCCAAGCCTCTGCAGCAATGGGTTAAGACAAGCGGCACATACCACTCTGACAGCCTCTTCTCAGCCAGGAACAAGAGCCATCTGTTGGGTGGAGTGGGCTCCGCAGAGGTCAGGAGTTCCACTCCACCATCCTCCCCAAGAGAGAAAGATGAGGTTTTCTCCTCCTATAAAGGATGCAAAGCCCAAAACAAAGCTCATTGCCATCTGATCAATGCTCCCTCATGGCAGCCCTGGTGGCCCAGTGGTTATGCATCGGGCTGCTCACTGTGAGGTCAGAAGTTCAAAATCACCAGCTTCTCATTGGGAGAAAGATGAGACTTTCTACTCCTGTAAAGAGTTACAGTCTCAGAACTACCCACAGGGGCAGTTCTGCCCTGTCCTGTAGAGTCACTATGAGTTGGGACAGACTCGACAGTAGTGAGTTTGGGTTAGGGGCTTGGTTTTTGGCTAGCCGGGGCAGCAGGCCACAGCAGGAAGTGTCCAGGTAGGTGGGGCTCCAACCTAGGACCTCCCCAGGAACCCAATGTTGGAGAGACATCAGTCCCACCCAGGGGAAGCTGGCAGGCCCCCTGGGGTCGTGAGTGACCTACTCAGTCACCCACAGCTGTTTCTCTGAAGGTGGGACCACCCAGGCCCCTGGCCGGCTGTTCCCACAGCCATGTGGGGTGTCTTGGGGTCACAGATCATCTGTGACTGCGGCTTTCTGTGGGAACACAGCTAAGGGCATGCTGGCCTCTGTGGGGCCCCTCTGGAGCAGATGGGGGCAC